ATTTCGGGTTGGGTGGGGTATGGGCTCCACAGGTGTTTTTTCTATGTTCCTGGACATCGAGGGTAAATCTGACCCTTCGGGTTGGGTTGGGGTGGTTTGGTGGGTAGTGAGGTGGGGGGAGGGGGGGAGGGCTTCTTAGAACGAAGATGCTTCCTAGAGGGCGCCGGCCTTGCGTCTACAGGGAAGGCCCGCGCCTTCTAAAATAAGAAGCAGGGGTGCTCCTAAGAAGCCCTCCCCCCTCCCCCCACCCCCCTCTGCGCGCGGCTGATCTCTACTAAACGCAAGCACCCCCAGCAGAACAAGAGGGAACCGCATACCAAAGTCTTGCCCTCGCCATGGTCGGTTCACCATTCGCTGCCAAGGAAGCGCCGCGGAGAAAAAGGTGTCCCACCGCTGTTTTCCTGAAAGTCTTTCTCAGAGGGCCAGGGAGACATCACAGGAGTTCCGAGGGCGTCTACGGACGCTCTGAAGCGTCTGCTGGAGGCTCCAAGGCTTCTCTTGAAGATCTGATGTGTCCCATGCCTCTCCCACGAAGCTCTCCGGCCTCTCCCAGGGGCCCCAGAGCATCGTTGGAGGTTCGAAATACTCTCCTGTATATACTGTTCTCGTCGCCCTCTTCGGCGCCTTCCATTCCATTCCATTCCATTCCTCCTCCTCCTCCTCCTTATCGTCTTCGCCCTCGTCCTCTACCTTCCCGTGTTGTTCTTCCTCCTGTTCCTCCTCCTCCTTGCTTTCTCTCTGCTGTTCGGCAGCCAGCCGCAGCTGACAAGTAATGATGTAGCGCAGACGGAGCTTCAGAGGCAGCTGCACAAGCCAGGCCACCCGAGCCGCAAAACGTGAAACCTTCGGGGAGCGCAGGGACGCGCCACGCAACGGCGCGGACAGAATGGAAACGAACGGCTCTCATTACCTACGTACACACGGTGGTGCACCTGTTTCGGTCAGTCACATCGTCCTTCGCCTCTTCTGGCGACGCTTGCCCTGCTGCTGCGGCCACACCCACTCACATCATGCATCATCCGTCGTGGTGCCTTCTCTCCCTCTCGCTATGGCGAGTGATCCTTCAGCTCGTGGGGAGCGAGCGCCTTGGCGCGAGACCGTCGGATTGCGCCACCGCGACAAGCCATCTCGATAAATGCTGCGCTGGCACGGTGGACCCCCCCATTAAATGCCTAGTGCTGTCTGGTAGGGTAACCGGGACATCAAACAACTTTGGTGCACGTTGGCAGGCAAATCCTTCCAGTGGGCTGGGCTCGCGCATCCCGCGTCGACTCTTCCTCCCCCTCCTCAGTCTCTTCATCCTCCTCATCCTCCTTTTCCCCCTCCTCCTCTTCCTCCTCCTCCTCCTTCTCATCCTCTCCCTCGCTGTCATGTTCGCCCACCTCCTGCTCCGCCATGTTTTTTGTTGTTTCTCTCTCTCTCTCTCTCTCTCCCCCCCTCGGCAATCAGCCCGAGGTGGAACTTGATGACGTAGCGCAGGCGGGGCGTCAGAGACAGCTACACGAGCCAGGCCTCCCAGGACGGAACACGTGAAACCTTCGGGGGGCGCAGAGACGCGCCACGCAACGGCGCGGGCAGTATTGAAACGAACTTCGCCTCTTCTGGCGAAGTTTGCCCCCTCTGCTGTGACCAAACCCTCCTACATCATGCATCATCCGTCGTGGTGGCGTCTGTCCCCCTTGTTCTGGCGAGTGTTCTTTCAACTCGTGGGACGCCGACGCCTTGGCGCGAGCCTGTCGGATTGTGGCACCGCGACAAGCCATCTCGAGAAATGCTGGGCTGGCACGGTAAATCCCCCATTAAGCGCCAAGTGCTGTCTGGTAGGGTAACCACGATATCAAGCACCTCTGCGCCTCCCGCGTCGACTCTTCCTCCCCCTCCTCTTCTCTTTCCTCCTCCTCCCTTTCATCCTCCCTTTCCTCCTCCCTTTCCTCCTCCCTTTCCTCCTCCTCCTCCTCCTCCTCCTCCTCCTCCTCCTCCTCCTCCTCCTCTCCTTCCCCGTGTTATTCCTCCTCCTCCTCCTCCTCCTCCTCCCCCTTTCCTCCTCCTCCTCCTCCTCCTCTTCTTCCTCCTCCTTTTCATCATCATCATCATCATCATCATCATCATCATCATCATCATCATCATCATCAGCATCATCATCATCATCATCATCATCATCATCGGCATCAGCATCAGCATCAGCATCAGCAGCATCATCATCATCATTATCAACAGCAGCATCATCATCCTCATCATCATCACCACCACCATCATCAACTCATCATCATCATCATCATCATCATCATCATCATCATCATCATCACCAGCACCAGCATCAACTTCATCATCATCAGCATCAGTTTCATCATGATCCTCCTCCTCATCCTTATCATCATCATCATCATCATCATCATCATCATCATCATCATCATCATCATCACCACCACCACCATCATCATCATCATCATCACCACTTCCTTCTCCTCCATGATTTCCTTCCCTGTCGATAACCAGCCGAAGCTGATGACTAATGACGTATCAGGAACTTCAGAGACAGCTGCACACGCCAGGCCACCCACGCCGCAATACGTGAAACCTTCGGGGAGCGCAGGGACGCGCCACGCAGCGGCGCGGGCAGAATGGAAACGAACGGCTCGCATTACGCCCGTGCACACGGCGGTGCACCTGTTTCGGTCAGTCACATCGTCCTTCGCCTCTTCCAGCGACGCTTGCCCTGCAACTGTGGCCACAGCCACTGGCATCATGCATCATCCGTCTTTGTGCCGTCTCTCCCGTGAACTCGTGAGACGCCAGCGACCTGGCGCGAGCTCATGAAATATCTATGCTGTCTGGTAGGGTAGCAAGGGAATCAAAATGCTTCAGCGCACGCTGCCAGGCAAGGCCTTCCGTTGGGGTGGACTCGCGTTCGAATTTCTAAATTTGCTTCGGTCCGCGATTTGTTTCCTTCCCCTTTTCCTCGTCTTCCTCCTCGTCGTCCTCCTCCTCCTCCTCATCCTCCTCCTCTCAATTCCCGTCTTTCTCCCGTCCTCCTCCCAAATGTCCCTCTCGTCCTCGGCAACCAGCCGCAGCTGACAAGTAATGATGTAGCGTGACGGAACGAACTTCAACCACATCTACGCTAGGCAAACTACCCAGTCCGCGAGACGTGCAAACGTGGGGGGGGGGCAACAACGCGCCACGAAAAGGCGCGGGCATAAGGGAAACGATCGACATTCATCTTGCGTACAAGCGGTGGTTCGCCTGTTCCGATTTCTGCTATCTTGGCGCCACCCACATGATGCACATCCGTCGCTGTGCCTGCTCTCCCCCTCCTCCTGGCGAGTGCTCCTTCCGCTCGTCGGGACGCCGGCGCCTTGGCGCAAGCCCGTGAGATTGCGGCACCGCGACAAGCGGTCCCGATAAATGCTGCGCTGGCACGGTGGACCCCCCACTAAATGCCTGTGCTGTCTGGTAGGGTAGCAAGGCCATCAAGAAACTTCGGTGCACGCTGCAAGGCAAATCATTCCAATGCAGAGGACTCGTGGACTCGCGCCTCCCGCTTCCACGTCTTGTTCTGCCCCCGACCGTTTTTCCCCCTAATTCCCCTCCTCGTCCTCGTCCTCGTCATCGTCCTCGTCCTCGTCCTCGTCCTCGTCCTCCTCCTCGTCCTCCTCCGCCTCCTCCTCCTCGTCCTCCTCCTCCTCCCCATCCGTGCTGCACGTGCTGCATCATCATCCATCACACTGTGCACTTCCCCTCTCATCCACCATGCTCCCTGCTCTCCGTTCACGCATCCCTCCCTCCACGCGCCCTCTCGTTTCCTGCTCCGCTGCTGCAGTCGGGTGGACGTTGACTGGGGGCAATAAACAGACAGGGGGCGAGAGTTTCAGGAACGTGGCCCTTCTAGTAGGGGTCCTTCCACAAGAAACCTTCCACAAGAAACCCAGACCTGAGACCCCAGGGCGCCCATTGATGTTTGATGTGGGAAGGTCACGCTTCCCACTGCAAAACCATCGAAAACCAAGAAACCAAGGGCACCCTGGAGGCAAGCAGGGTGTTTCTTGACATGGGCCTCCACTGTACAGACGGTTGGATAAAGTTGGTAAGATTTGTCTGGGCTGAACGACCTCCAGACGGCGCGCGGGCGCGCGCCCAGAGGCTCCCACAGGCCAGTCGGAGGAGCGGCTGCTGCGCGCAAGCGGGTCGGGGCCGCTGATTTTCTTGGCTCGAGGGGCGGCGGCGAAGACAACGACGACGACGACGGCGACGTCGGCGACTGCGGTTGCGGCGGCGACGACGACGACGACGACGACGGCGACGGCGAGGTCCAGTGATCAGAACGCGCGACGGGCCAAACGTTGGAACCCAGAGGAGCAGCCCAGTGAAAATTTTGGAAGGAGCCGCCTGAAGAACGTTCTAGCAAGAAGGCCTGGATAAAATTCTAGGAAGCGCCTAGCCGCGTGCCCTGGGTAAGTCGCTTTCGGATTCCACAGCTGCCCTTCACGCGTATGTTACAAGGGTGCAGCGGTCAGACAAAATTTGTGCGAAACGCGTGGCTGTCCCACCACACGGGTCCGTCCAAAGCCAAACGGGTTCGCATACACTCCGTCGAAGAAGCTTCGGATCCGTACCTGGATCCGACGCCCGAAGCGACGCTGACACGCCCGAAAAAGTATCCGCGTCACCGTCAGCGGGGCCCCTGCATGTGTTCTCTGGCACCCCACGATGCGCCCATCGCCCGCGACCTGCCGCCAAACCCCTATTCCCCGGGCTGGCTGCGCCGACGGCCCCTGGCCGGGCTGGGCCAGCAGTCTGGCACCTTCGTTCGATTGAATATTCGGGCCGGAGTCTCAAATCATACCAACTTACCTGACTGTCTGTAAGGGGCCCTAAACTGTCATCGCGGCCAAGCGAACGTTTCTTCAGATCCTGTTCCCCCCCCGTTGCCGAACGCCCGATCCCGCCTCCCCATCCTCCCCCCCGCCGGTAACATTAGGTTTCCTGGTGAGCTGAGCCACCAAATCAGTCTTGTTCACCACTACCGTGTCCGAGGACTCCAGCTGGCTGGCCAGCAGCACCGACAGAGGCTGGACGGCGATGTTTTGAGAAGAAATGGCCAAGAGGGCGCATGTGGGGACTTCGGGTCTCCACGCGGCAAGGAAGGACGGGGAGAACGTGCGGAAGGGGGGACAGGGGACGGGAGAGGCAGAACGATCATCATACATGCGAGGACGGCTTTGACGAGAAGAGAGCTGCGAATAAGAGCGAGTAGGCGCCCATGCTGTCAGGGCTGTTGGCGGACCGCATAAAAAGTGCTCTCGAGAGGCAGAGCAAAGCAACCCGCCGCAGGAGCCGATTCTGCCATTTGCCAAAAGCTGCGAGTGGGTCGCGGGCGAGCCGCCGGCGGGTCGCGCCAGTGCAGAGCGAACGGCGTTCTCCAGGATCCGTGCAAGACGGCCCGCCGCAGGAGCCGAGATGCTGTCTGCAGAACGCTACGGGAGGGTCGCAGGCGGGTCGTGCAGGCTGGGCGGCGGCCAAGCAAAGGCGTTCTCCCCAGAATCCGTGCAAACATGCCCGCCACAAGAACCGAGGACTTCCCCAAGAATGCGTGAGCGGGTCGCGGGTGGGCCGTCAGCTGGTCTCGCGGGCAGGGCCAAGTCACGGCGCTCTCGAAGCGCAGTGCAAGACAGACAGCCCGTCGGGGACCGGTTCTCTTCCAGCAGAGTGTTGGCGGGCGGGGCGAACAGCGGCGATCTCTGAAGCCAATGCGAAGCAACCAGCCGCTGGCGCCGATCTGTTGCACAGCATTGCGAGGGTGCCGTGGGCTGGACGACGGCGTCGCCTGCGGACCGCGGGTGGGTCGTCGGCGGATGTCGGTGCGTCGCGGGCGGGGCGGGGCGCAGAGGTGTGGCGGGGCGGGCCGCGGGGCGACGAGGACCACATCAGCGACAGTCCGGACGGATGCCAAGTTAATCGCACGACATACCTGCAAGCATGATCATGCTGTTCTGAGTAGATCGAGGAGGTCCTTCTACGCATTGCAGGCGAAAAGCGTGGATCAAATCATTCGCGCTGGCTGCAAAAATGTGCCCACAGGCTCGGTCGATGATTCTGGATTGTATTGTGGAACGGAAGGAAGCACCCACTATTTAGAACCACGGTCCCTGCATGCCCTTGTCCACAACGGCATGGCCTTACGCTCTTCCTTGTTGTCCCCGTCCTCCTCCGCTATACTTTTCCCTTCGAGATCACTCCTCCCTGTCGCACCCACAGGGGTGTCGGTAGGGCGAGCCGGGCGTTTGACTGGAAACTTATCCATTCTTTAAGATCCACAAGTTTGGCAAGAACATTTTCATGGATGGAGAGTGGTACGCTCTCAAAGTAAGACTCTCGTCGTAGCGCCGCGCAGATATGTCTTGTTGGTTTGTAACCACTTCACGGGTGGAGAGGGGGGGGGGGGTCGAATGGGGCTCCCGCGTTATCGCCGTGCTTACCTGTCTTGAAACATGTGCAACAGTTTCACAGGTGGAGAAGTGTGGTTTTCAATTGCGGCCAACGTCTTAGCACAGCGCCCATTAGTCAAGCCGCTTCGGATTTGAAGGGCGATTCCTTTTCAAAATGGGGCTCTCGCATCAGCGCCGCGCGAGTGATTCTCGAACCTCGCACAGCCTCGAGGACCGAGGGTTGGTTGTCTTCCACTGGGGCTCGCGCTCTCAGGCCGCGCACATTCTTCGGAAACGTTTGCAGCAGGTTCGGGAATTGGGGGGGGGGGTCGTTTTCAAATGGTGCTCTTGCCCCAGCCGCGCACACCGTCGACTTAGCAGAGTGCAGCTGCTTCGGGGATGGAGCGGGGGTCGTTTCCTGAAGGGGGGCTCTCGCGCCAGGCAGCATCAATTCTACATATCCGACGCCTCATTACATTCAGCGCTCGCTTGAGCCTTCCCCGTAGCGCCTGGCCACAAGTGCAACCTCGTGCAACAGCTACACGGATGGGGGAGGGGCTATCCTTGATTTTTCTCCGGAACTTGGATAAAGCTTGAAACCGACCTGGCTGAACTGTATGATAACAGCAAACACGTGCGACAAGAACTCTTAGCACAAATGGTGGCCAGCGTGGTCTCCGACCAGTGGCTCTTGCGATATATGCGGTGCAACCTAGGCGGTGCAATCAATGTTGTGCAATCAGTATGGTGCATTCGATGTGGAGCAACGCAATGCAAAATAATGCAACGCGATGCGGAGCAATTCAAAACAGTGCAAATCAATGCAATGCAGTGCAAAGCAATGCAAAGCACGGAAAATCATTGCCAAGCACTGCCAAGCAATGCCAAGCAGTGCAACGCAGAGCAGTGCAAAGCAATGCAGATCAATGCAACTACATGCAACAAAATACAACCCAACGCTGAGGGACGCACATCAATGCACAGCAGTGCAAAACAATGCAATGCTATGTAAACACATGCGAAGCAACGCACACCAACACAACGCAACGCGACGCAACGCAACACAATGAGAAGCAAAGCGAAGCAATGCAATGCTACGCAAATTAACTTAAACCAGCGAAAATCGATGCAACTCAATTTGAAGCAGTGCGAAGCAACGCGAAGGAGCGCAACGCTATGCAGAGCAATGCGAAACTCGCAACGCAGTGCAAAGCAATGTGACCAATGTAGGTCTTGAGTACCTCCCGCAATACTGGGAAACTAACTATTGTCTCCGCGGGCTTATTGACGGATTGGGGCCCCAACAATATTTGAAATTAACTAGTCCACCGCGCTGGCCACCGGTGACTGATGGTGATGATGACGAAGAGGGGAAGGACAAAGAGGGGAAGGCCAAGTTTAGGGGGCATCGCTAAGGACCTCCCGCGGCTAAAGCACCACAAGGCAACGCAATGCGATGCAAACAGATATTAGGCAATGCCAAGCAATGCCAAGCATGCACAACAACGCAAGACACGACAACCAATGCAAATCTGCCGACCCCCGCTGGCCAGGAGTGCAGAGGCGCGTGAGATGCTTGGCCGTGCCCCTCACCGTTCCCCCCTCCCCTGAGACCTGAAATCCGATTAGAGGGGGGTTGCCCGGGGGGCCCCCGCGGGGGGGCCCGGGGCGGGGCCTCCGAGCTTATCAGCGCTCTCCCGGGGCCTCCCGAGCACCCATTTCTATGCTCCGTGGCCTCCAAGATGCTGACGAGTCGATCTACGTTTCCCCAGACAGGTATCTAACACATTCCAACACGCACATGGGGGCCTGGAAGGCGACTCAGGTAGCCTCAGGCGCGAGCAGTATGTAGGATTGACAACTCCCTGCGAACAGGAATCACTTGCACATCATACATTTTACCACAAAGGTTGCCCAAAGCGGTTGCAAAACTCAATGTGCCCCACATCGATTGCACCACATCGGTTGCGTACCACGCAAATCGCACAACAGAGTGTGTACTTGTGTATTCTCCATTCTAAAAGATTAATAGATTCTACCCTCCTCCACCCCCCCGGACTGATCGCCTCCCCCTGGGATAATATGATTTCATATATATTCTGCACACTCGTCCATCCTAAATATGAAATCATATCATCCCAGCCAGACCAGGTTCCCCCCCGGAGGTTCCCTTTTTAAAAACACTACGCGGTGACATTTTTGTTCTATCATATCTCTTGCAAAAAACAAAACGAAGTGCACACGCGCGCGTCGTCGCGCGCGCATGCCGAATTCCTTCAAAAACCTTCGGTGCGGGAGAGATGTCGCAATCGAGTTCCCCAAAAACATACAAAAACACAAGGTTTCGCAACACAGAGTTGCTAAAAAAGCTTCCGCGAAAGCTCTTGCGAAATCTTAAGAAAACCATCGGTTTTTCAAGATTTCACAACATGCTACCAAACGGGCTTCGCGCGCGCTCGTGTCGAAATCTGTCGAACGCCCTTGCGCGTGTGCCGTCGCGAGAATCCCCTGCAAAACATGGGACGAAGTGCAGACGCGCGCGTCGTCGCGCGCGTATGCCGAAAACCTTCAAAACCCATCGGTTTCGGAAGGATTTCAAAATCGTGTGTCCAAAAAACCTACAAAAACACAAGGTTTCGCAACACGAATTTTCAACAAAAGCGTGCGCGCGCGCTCTTGCGTCGTCGTCGTCGTCGTCGTCGCCGTCCTCCCTCCTCCCGCGTCGTCGTCGTCGTCGTCGTCCTACGTCGTCCTCTGTCTTTCCTCGTGTTCGTCGTCGTCGTCCTCTTTGGCGTCGTGGTCGTTTCCGTCGTCGTTGTCGCCGTGGTCGTCCTTCCTCCTCCTCCCTCGTCGTCGTCGTCGTCCGTCGTCGGCGTCTCGTCGTCGTCCCTCCTATTTCGTCGCCGTCGTCGTCGTCGTCGTCGTTGTCGTCGTCGTCGTCTTCTTCCCTCCTCCCTCGTCGTTGCCGTCGTCGGCGTCGCCGTCCTTCCTCCTTCTTCGTCGTTTGCGTCGTCGCCGTCCTCCCTCCTCCCTCGTCGTTGTCGTCGTTGTCGCCGTCGTCGTCCTCCCTCCTTCCTCGTTGTCTTCGTTAGCGACGTCGTCGTCGTCTTCGTCGTCGTCGTCGGCGTCGGCGTCGTTGTCGTCTCGTCGTCGTCGACGTCGGCGTCGTCGTCGTCGCCGCCGTCGTCGTCGTCGTCGTCGTCGTCGTCGTCGTCGGCGGCGTTGACGTCGTCGTCGTCGTCGTTGTCGTCGTTATCGTCGTCGTCGGCGTCGTCATCGTCGTCGTCGTCATCGTCGTCGTCGTCGGCGTCGGTGTCGTCGTCGTCGTCGTCGTCGTCGGTGTCGTCGTCGTCGTCGTTGTCGGCGTCGTCGAAGTCGTTGGAGACGTCGTCGGTGTCGTCGTAGTCGTTGTCGGCGGCGTCGTCATCGTCGTTGTCGCTGTCGTCGTCGGCGTCGCTGTTGTTGCCAAGTGCCATGTGGTACCCACCGTCACGGTCTCAAGAGATTTTGCGAACCAAGCTGCGGGTGGGTGGGTGGGATGTTTGCGCGAGCAGTGGAGTGGACAACTCACTGCGAACAGAAATTAGCTTGCACCACATAGACTGCACCACATAGTTTGCACTACGCTGGTTACACAACATGAA